TAGAATTGCTACCAATATTTTGAACTTAAAATATTTACTTCCAGTTGAAGTACTTGACCGTCACGGTGATAAGTGAAACTGACTGACTGAAGAGTTATTGATTGATATCTCGATATACGCTTGCAAAAAATTGCTAATATTTCCTAGTGATTATTGAAGCATACTATTGTGAGTTTCTCGCATTAAAAATTTGATGTGAAAAACGAAATTAGGTGTTAAGCTATGAGTATGCATGAGTATCATCTCCATATGAATGAAAAAAGGAAACTAGGCGTTCAAATTATTTCAGCAATTTCGAAATTAGTAAAATATGATCATGCAAAATTGGGTTGTTGAATAGAGTGCAATTAAATGAAAAGATTTATGTTGTTCTAAGATTGAATGACAAAAGGGAACATTGATTGTTCTGGGATAACCTAATTTCGGGTACTGAGCAAGGCTAATCAATTGAATTTTCTTTATTTGAGCAACATATTGAGTACTAAATTCTTATCTCTTTTGTGGTGTAGAGGAGAAGGATTAAGAGAGAAAGGTTGGTCTATGATGAGACGTGCCTCTAAAATCATTTTTAAATGATGGAGCACACAACTACCTAACTATGTCAATCTCTTAACGAACAATAAGGTGAGTCCCATAATAATTTTAAACTCTCATTAATTTTTCTTCCAGGTTATAACAATATCAAATGAATTATTCACTCACAAATTAAATAAGAATCATGAAATTAACCCATCAAAAATGAAAATATGTCTCATAAAAACCCTCATACACCAATCCCAAATCCCTAAATAAACTTACTTCCTATTCACAATTGAATAAACGATATAATTCGGAAGAAAAAAATTACATGTCATTAATCAAAATAAATATATTATAAAGGAATCTCAGAAAATTATTGTTCTAGAACTAAAACTATGAAAGATCTTGTTCAAGAATTGTTTCTCAAGTTTGTTTTTCAAAACAAGGTCCGAGTCCTCTTTAAATGGGTTTGAGTCGAACTTGGTCGTGCAAAGTCCATGCACTACTCACATAAACTCAGCAGTTTTTCTTGTTTGCGCATGGTGCCACGCAGACTTAGAAAACTCGCATAAAACTCCCTAAACACCAAACTATTACAAAGTTTTTCATGGATAAAAACAACTGGACCATTTGGTGAATAAAATTCAAATTTCAGCTATTCAATAAAAAAAGCTATGTATGTTTAAAAAGGTTCGTCATAAAGGAGAATTTGGTGACATATGTATTACTGGTGTCGTCAGCGTCTAAAAAATGAGAGTGATATTGTTTTCAGATTAAGGTTAAAATTGGTGTTTAAAGAAATGTAGATACCAAAGAGAACTTTCTTTCCAAAAAATACAAACTAGTCTCCTAAGAGTATTAACACCATTGATTCCAAGAAAAAAATTATCCAAATTTAAATGCACTCTCTCCACATTTAAGATTCAACAACAACTTTGATGCCCAAAATTAATACAGAATGATGTTGGGGGTGAAGAGAACGGGTCATGTGCGCAATAATAACTCAAATGATTAATCATTCATTTAAAAAGACATAAAAAGTAAGAGAAATCGCTTTTATGCCAAGACTCTAGAAGTGCATGATCAATTTTGAATCTTCAACTCAAACCAGGAACATTGATTCTAAACTGCATAAAGATTGGTTACAACAACATATCCATATGAGTAAAAGAAACAAAATAATAAGGAACTTAAGTTATCCTTAACTAAGTGAAACAATAATAAAAAACTAGAAAGTTGAAATTGGAAAAAAGAGCAATGAATTCAAGAAACTTGGATTGTCTCCCAAAAGCGCTAATTGTAACATCGTGTGTCTGACGCGGCCCCATGGGCTCTCAAATAATAAATACTACAGTGGTGTACTGGTTTTCAAAGTGTCCAATTTTTATTCAACAAACACTTTTAGGTGGCTTAAACATTTGAATTCATGACTGTAACACCCCCGGCCCCGTAGGCCCCGAGATAGTTACTTCTGACCTCTAGTACTGTCCCCACAAACCACCACGAGCCTTTACCGCGCACTTTGTCCTCACTCATGCGCGCCCTGAGAAACTTCTCAGGGGGTCACCCATCCCAAGACTACTCCCGTGCAAGCACGCTTAACTTTGGAGTTCTTGGGTGATGAGCTCCCTTAAAAGGAGATGCACCTCTGTTGGTATGAGTAGTACTATTAATCCTCTTATATTAATCTCGGGTATTACAATCACCCCCACTTAGGAACGCAACGTCCTCGTTGCGCCCATAAACCAATCTCAATCATATCCCAGAATCTTTTCCCCTGCTAAGTGCCCGCCCGATATCCAACGGATCATCACACTGTCGCAGGGTTGCTCTGATACCATTTGTAACACCCCGGCCCCGTAGGCCCCGAGGTAGTTACTTCTGACCTCTAGTACTGTCCCCACAAACCACCACGAGCCTTTACCGTGCACTTTGTCCTCACTCATGCGCGCCCTGAGAAACTTCCCAGGGGTCACCCATCCCAAGACTACTCCCGTGCAAGCACGCTTAACTTTGGAGTTCTTGGGTGATGAGCTCCCTTAAAAGGAGATGCACCTCTGTTGGTATGAGTAGTACTATTAATCCTCTTATATTAATCTCGGGTATTACAATGACGCCACATGGATATCACACGCTCTTCATAAGCATCATCTGAAAAGAAGGGTAGAGTGACCCCCACATCCACAAGTGAACAAAAATATAGGCCAATGCCTTGATCGCACTATATATCATGTGAAGCTCAAAAGATGTCTTAATGTAGAGATGTGAAATAACACCACGACTCAGTATCACTCTCCATGAATGTATCACAATTCTCATTTTTGCTGCTCCCATTGATGCCTTTTAGAAAGTTGTGATGATTCTCGACACAAGAAGAAATACCATCACTGATGAGTGAATTAAAAAATCCAAATATGGGACAACGCAAATGTGGATGCCGAACGTGTACATGATGCCGGTTCGTCGAGTGTGGTGATAAAGATTTATTCATTATTGTCTTCACCTTCTCATTGTCACTTTCTTGGAGATCGTGATCATCTTCTGCCGGCTCATCTTCAGTATCTAAACTTACTACAATAACTTCATGAATGACACGTGTGGTCTCCCCCGCTCTCATAAGATGTTAAGATTAATGCACGGTGTCTCAAAAGATTGGAGATTTTCCATATGAACATCAAGGTGATATGAACCTAGCTCCATGTATTGCATGTATTGCAATACATGAATTCTTGGCACACAGACACATTGGCATTGCATGTATTCTTGGCACACAGTTACAATGGTACTTTGAATTTGTTAACGTTTATTTGGAACTGGGCTTGATCAAAATCATCTATTACCAAATCACCCATCGTATTTCCACCATCGTAGCATGGGTCTTGTTTTGGTTCGATCCCAGGGACCGTGTCCACCCCTATTTGTCCCCTATTGGATTGAGTTATAAATTTGCTGTGATTTTATTATGCGTTAACAAACATGACACGAATTTTGGATGTAAGTAAACTCTCATGAAATGATTTGTAATAAATAATTTTGAGATAAGAGGAGTTTCTATGTAATGTAGCTGAAGATGGTTAGTTAAGTATATACTATCGTAATATTCAAGGATTATATAATGACATAAGATCAATATATACCTATAATGATAATGAAGATAAAAGATAAATGTGTAAGTTTAATCTTACAATGCATTGACCACAACATTGCATTCATAATAATATAGTAAATTTTCATTTATAAATTGTATTCTAGCTATAGCTCGTAATCTGTTAGGATACCCCTCTTATGTAAGTATGAAGGTCAATAAATTAAAAAAACGAGGTTCCCACTAAAATATTACGTAAATATACAAACAACACTTGAATAAACGCGACAAAATTACTATATGCATAATTTCATAATCTCTACGGTATAGAATATAATAACAAACACTAAAATTATTAATATAGCAACTTTGTACAAAATTTTATTAATATAGAATAGGTAAGGACTAACCAGAAATTTAAAAACATTTTAGATTTCACTTGAAACTCGTACAATATTTGATTTTATCATATCTTGTTGTACTTGCTCCATTTCAAGCGATTTATAATTCATTAAAAAAATCGTATTGAGCTCCAAATCTTTTTTAAACGTGTCATATAGAAAATAATAAAGAATAGATACGTATTGCACTAATACTCAGTTTTTTTTACCGAGTCATTCCAAACACGTATAGTATTTGACTTGATGTACTCCCTCTATCTCTAAAAAGATTGTTAAATTTGACCGGCACGTAGAATAATAAAGTAAAAACTGTGTGGTAGAGATTTGTGCAAAGAAGAGAGAAACAACAGAAACCACAAATTGATTGATTAAAATGGAAAGTGACAAAATTTTTGAGACAACCAAAAAAGGAAAATTGTCAAAGTTATAAAGAACTATATAAAACATCACATTTGTTCTATTGTTTTTATTTCGATAATGTGTTCATTATTTTTTAAAATATACGGAGTACTCGTAAGTCGTAACATTCTTCCCGTTAAAAACGTAAATATGGCAAGGGATAAAGAAGACATGGGATAACAATAACTTCTTAAGATATTTTGCTACACGCCAAAGTGCATTTAGATTCCAAAATTCGCGATCCGCATATCAATTAATTAATCCCGCAATTTCAAAATAATTTCTTTAATAGACCATAAGGTCCTTGAGTGAACCGTCATAGCACAAAGGGTACCACTGTCATTGCACTCTCAAAGCGGAAGATGTGCGCGTGAATTTACATAAAAGCCCAACCCCGCAGATGTAGCCGCGCGTCCCCGCAGCATTGCCTTGATCCGATCCAAAGCTCTCACGCGTCCGCTAAGAAACACATAAGAAAGCACAGAGCTGAAGAGACCAAGAACAGCCAATGAGAGAAGAGTGCGCGGATCGGTGACGTGGCAAGAGATTTTCGAAATCCCGCCTAAAGCCCGGACTTGAAATTCCTTTGTGGGGGTGGAGAATAAAAATTTCTTTTCCAGTCCTCTGGAGCGCCCCTTCTTATCTCTCGCGCTCCCTCTCCCTCGAAAGCCCACTCACAAACAAAGCCACCGAAGCTTATCGCTGCGTTTATTGCTTCTCTCTCTATTCTATTCCATTCTCCAACCCTAGATACAGGTAAACTCGCTGCCATGCGGCGCTGACTCGCCCGAGTCGCACCGATTTCCGCCGATTCACGACCGATACTGACCGGTTTTGGCCCTTTCTCTGCAGGTTTCGCCATGAAAGGAGCTAAAGCAAAGGGGAAGGCTGAGAACAAGTGAGTTTTGTGGTCTCATCGATCTATTTTATTCGCTTTCTGTTCGGATCTGTGTTTTGATTTTCACATGTTTTCCAGTTTTTTTTTTTTTTTTTGTGTGTGGACAATCATTGAGAAATTGACGATTCTCCTGTTTCGCAGGCTCGCAGTGAAGGCTAAGCCTACGAAAAAAACTAAAGCCGTCAAGGATCCGAACAAACCGAAGAGGCCTCCCAGCGCTTTTTTCGTCTTCATGTAAAATTCATCTGACCATCTCCGCTCTCAGATCGTATTTGACTTTAGTTCCCCGTTTAGCAGCTCCTTATTGCGTGGATTTGTAATATACAGGGAGGACTTTCGCGTAACTTATAAGAAAAAGAATCCAGCAAACAAGTCTGTTTCCGAAGTGAGTATATAAGATCCTTATTGCCGTGGGAATTATAATTGCTTAGCATATGTAATAAACCGTACTTTTATCTCAGGTTGGTAAAGCCGGCGGGGCAAAATGGAAGACCATGACCGAAGCTGTAAGTTAACTTCTAAATTTCTAATTATCATCATATGACCTTTCTAATATATAATTCCAGCTGCGTGATCTTTCATTTGATGTTCAAACCGATTTCAGGAAAAAGCTCCCTACGTCGCTACTGCTGAGAAAAGGAAGAAGGAATACGGTAAGAAATTGAAGGAGTATGAAAACAAACAGGTACCAGACAGTTCCGAAAAGCTTTTTCCGAATCCTTCGTATTCCGTAATCCGTAATATATACTCCGCAATTCATAAATAACACGAAGTATTAAATTCCGATTGATTGGTTTGGGATCCCTAGAGTAACGCTACTGCGGACGAGGAGGAATCTGACAAGTCAAAGTCTGAGGTCAACGACGATGAAGACGACGAAGATGGAAGTGACGATGTGAGCTGCTTGATCTATTTCCTTAAAAGTTGATTATGTCACTAATGTAATATATACTGTTAATGACTTGCTAAATATGTGTTCTTTACCCAGGGTGATGAAGACGAAGACTCTGATTAAAAATCCCCTGGCCGAGACGTGATGGCTGATATATTTTGCTGAAGCGTTGTGCGATAGTGGAAGGATGTTCTAAAGAAACGTTTGGCTATGGGATTAATTAACTAGCCTATAGTAGTAGTTGCTCTTTCCTATTTTCTTTCCCTTTTTATGTTTTTTGGAGGAGTGTTGGATGGGATAGAAAAATGGGTACTCAGTCCAAGTTGGGAGTATTTGGTTCAATCCATTGCTCCATGTACTTTACTATTATGATGAATATTACGATTTTAATCCATTGTTATGCTTATGATTGGCAATTATACGCTCCACGAATTTTACATGAATTAGTTTGGCTCTTGATTTGGATTTCCAGATTTAGTCTGTTTTCATTTTGTCTTATAGAGGAACATATCTTTTGGCATCTGTTTTCAATTCATACCAACGGGATCGATCGGTTCTTGTACGAAGCAAACGAATAAGATGAGTTCTTACTGTTCCTTTGGGGACATTCGAAAAAATTGGAAGGATACACGATACAGAAGATGATTTCTTACTTTCGATTTTCTTATTCTTGTACTTCAAAACTATGATCCAATAAGATGAGATTATGAGAACCAGCAAATTTGATGATCACCGTTCCTAAATTTGATTGATGAAGTGTGTTCGTTTTGTTTAAATACAACTGCAATGTTTTTACTTGGAATGAAATTTCAAGTAAAAACATTGCAGTTGTATATTGAAAAGCAAGTGTGGTCTTATTTGGTTTGGTAAATGTTTGATCTTTATGCATTTTATAATGATCCAAGTTTGGTACTCCCTCCGTTTCTGAAACAAGTTCCACCTTTCCTTTTCGGGCAGATTCAAAATTAAGTTCCACTTTCAAGCATTTCCTTATTTGGCAAATCATCTACATTAAAACAGTGTCTAACAGTGTTCAAACAGTGCCAAACAGTGCACTCCACAGTAAAGTCATATTTATTTTCTTAATATGTGTGAAGTCAAATGTGGAACTTGTTTCAGAAACAGAGGGAGTATGATATTGAAAACAGTCTAATTAAAAATATCTCTAGTAAGCAACTTTACGTCGTCTATGGGAAACGTGCAATGAGAATTATCATCCATGGAAGATCATAGCTCATCTATAATGTCGAAAGTTTGAAAGAAAATAAAGGTGAAGGAGGAGAGGAAGCTGGAAATGGCATTGGAAATTGATTGCATTAAAACAAGAAAACGATCGCAAGTACAATCCATTTCCTCAATGGCCTCCAACTCTAGGAATCCAAGAGAGGCGACACAACTCTTGTGACAAGGCTGAACCCGAATTTCGTCACTGTCACGACGAATCCAATTTCGACCACCACATACGTTATCTCACTAAGTATAAGGCTATCCCCATTCAACCAACCTGAGTCTCCGGTGGTATCTCAAATGATACTGTATACCTATTTGCATCCAATATCCACACCTGCTCGCAGCCTCACACCTCTTCTCGCCTTCTCTTAGTGTTGGGAATGAACCTTTTAATTTGCAATTCGTCACCCTAAACATTTCTACATTCAATTCTATTTTGTCCTTGCCTGAACCTTACATTCTTCCCATTCCCATTTATAATCGACAGAATCATGAAGTATTCACGATCACCTCACTAACCAAACAAAAATTTACTCAGACGGTCGGTCTTACGAAGACAACTATCATTCGTTTGATGAAGAGTATCGAGGGTCCCATGGCAGTCATATTCACACAACTACGACAAATGAAAGAGAATACCAACGGAATTCATGGAGTCCCTCCTCCACTTGACATTGCATCTCAAGCATGTTATGACGAATCACCTTTTGACGGTTCAATCACCCATGTTGAGATGTCAAATAAATTTGACATACCAAACATGGAGCCGTTTGATGGAACCTCGAATTCTGGAGAACATTTCGCACAATACAAGCAAATGATGCTATTATTTCCGTCAATCCGAACAAAGAGAGGCATGTATGTGTCTGGGATTCGACGCGACATTGATCGGATCATGCTCTCACATGGTTCATGAATCTTTCGAACGGGGAACCAGTTCGTTTGCCAAACTCGTCAATCTTTCCAATCAATAGTTCGCAAGTAGCATGGTGTTGGAGAGACAGACCGGCGACCTCTATAGAGTTACGCAACGATAAGGTGAACCCCTTAGAGACTACTTGCATAGGTTCAAAAAAGAAAGGTATCGATTCCTAGATGCGATATCCCCACAATTATTGAGGCGTTCAAGAGAGGCTTATTCGAAGATTCCGAACTGTATTGGGAATTGAAGAAAAACCCTTTTCGGTCCTCTGAAGAGGTCCAAACAAAGACGTTAGCTTTCACCTGGCTAGAGGAAGACTTACGATCCCGACGTAGCCAATTCGAGTATGAAGGCCGCACGAGAAGTCGTACTCTCCCAAGAGGCAGGACTACAAGTCAAGGAAATCCTATTTGTGACTCGAGGACCGAGTCATCACTTCTGTGACAGGATAGAACAAACAAGATCATTGAAATCGTTGAACATGTGACATGCTGTTTGGAAACTTAAGACAACAGACAAGTTTTGAGAAGTTACAATGCGACACACGTACTTAAAGTTGTTTCGTTTTTAATTTACTACTGTCCTTAACATATAAGCCATTACTAACTTTCATTCAAAAAAGAAGAAGCTATTACTAACTTAAGCATTGAAAGGCCATTGGCTTCTAGTCAATGGCCAACCTTAGTAAATTCTGTTTGTACAAAAATAATCAACAATGGACGATGACGATTCCTGACACTTGTTGACAAAGCCTTACAAAAACGTCAAAACATAAATGACGGGTCTTACATAATGGGCGACTATGATGTCATAACACACGTTAAACAAAGTCTTACAGAAACACCAAAACATAAATGACGAGGTGTACGTAACTATAAGGGAATTTTCCATGTCTTTCTAAACATGAGTGCAAACACCACTGATCTATGCAATGTTTTGGCCAAAATTATAAAGAACAATACACTACATAAAGATATATTTCAAAATCATAACACAAAACAACGAGAATCTCCATAACAGAAGGAGGCGACACGAATGATATCAATACTAACCTTATACATTCATGTTTAGAATGACAATCATTCTGAAACTGTAACGACCGTCCCCAAAACGGCCATTACGATACTCAAACATAAAAAAGACTCGATAAATCAAGCGGAAATAAAGGTACAAAGCTTCGATATGAGACTTTATTTCTTTTAGAACAAATCAAAACTTACAAACATAACGAAACACATCCAAAATAAAACAATTTAAAACCATTACACCTGATCAGGATTTTAAAAATGTTTAACAACCCTTTGAAGTACCAACGTACTAAAACCACAACATAACTGATAGCCCGATCTTCTCAGTTAATCCATCCAAAACCTTATCACCGACTCCATACATTCTCTCAGGCTTCCGTACCTCGTTCATTACCTATACATGAGAATAGAAGTCTCGTAAGCAATAATGCTTAGTAAGTCACCATTTCATCCACTAAAAACGTTTAGGGAATCTTAGCTAGCCATAATTAGATACATGAGTTTGAATACTCCATACACATAGCATATTCACACACATATTCATATCATGTAAAACACGACATCATGTAACAAAATCTAAAAGATTTCCTCATTCATCATTCTTTCTTCTTATCTTATTACTTGACTTGATGGGCCCGTAGCTCGTATCCTGACCCCTCGCTAATGACCTTGGGTAGCTAGCCCGTAGCCATCAGAAATAATCCCGGGACTCCCCGCAGAAGGAGATCCCGCTCCGTTCAGCTAAGGTAATTACTTGGGGGAACAGCTACCTTAGAACATTTCTTATCATTCATTAGATATCATTATCATCACAACTTTCATTCATTGTTGGATTCCATATAAATCCAACCTAACCATAAACATAGAACTTGGATACCTTACACTGATAACTCAACAAGTTCTCAATCAACATCACCTACAAGCATATATACATAACAGGGCATTCACATAATCTTATGCCATACAAATTCAAGTGTTCAAGCAAATCTATCCAATTCATAGACAACTAGACTTCCATGTTTCATTTCAAACTATCATGTATAGGTGGTGATGACTTACCTGATTCGCGTGGAGTATTTACCCGGTGTGTGCTTGTAGAACTTTCACGGACAACGATTCTTCGATGAGCAACTATATATATCATTTACAATTGATCAACATAATTTCATGTTTTTAACCAAAAACCTTAAGACTTAGGAATGAAGGGAGATTCTACATAATCAGCCCCCTAGAATTGAGAAAACTCTCAACTTCCTTCAATCAACCGACATAGCTTCGGGGTAGCTAAAACCCAATTGTATCTTAAACCCAAGAATCAACAAGAATTAACCAAAAACCATACTATCAAGAGTTCTATGTATCTATTTAGAATCAACCTATACATAGTAAGAATTTTGCCCAAATTCTTTCATCAACTTAGTAAAAATTCGGAATAATTAGTTATTCAAGAACAAATTGAAGTTTGTTAAATCCAAGCTAAACAACAACTCCAAAACAATCTTCTATCAAGAAAATCCATTAATTTTCCTAGAATCAACCAAAAGTTCACTCAACCCTAGTTAAATCCCAAAACAAGAACTATGGATCAAATATAGAAGAATTCTTCATGTAAAGTGTAAAAATCTTACCAAGTGATGATCTTTGATGAAGAATATGTTTAATTTGAGCTTGAATCACCCTATAAATCGGTTGAGATTGATTTGTAGAGAGAAGGACGAGCTGGGATCGATTTTGGGTTGAAAAGGGGGTATTTGCGCTTAAAAACGATTTTGACTGACACTGCCAAACCCGACCGAACCGGCGCCGGTTTGCCCCTGACCGGCGCCGGTTTCCATGCCATTCTAACACCCTAAAGTTTCTGTTTTGGACCGGCGCCGGTCCGGGTCCAACCGGCGCCGGTTTGAGATCAATCGGGTGCCGAAAACGTCATTTTTCGCCCTAAACCGACCCCGATCGTTGCTGATCCCATCCTAGACCCCCAATGACCTTTTTAAACTATATTTTAAACACTAAAATACTATTTAACATGAAAAATAACTTGATATACCATTACATTCAAAAATACGAATGATTATTACGGTGTAGTTTCGTTGCTCATCGGATACCGTCGCCTGTCACGTTCAAACATAATACAAGCATGTAAGTTGAAATATCATTATCAAAAAGTTAATACTCACATGCTATCCCTACACTTCACACATATAGCACTCATACATAAGTTAAAACATGATCATATATAACATTAATTAATGCATAAGAAGTAGAAAAAGTACGGACGTTACAGAAACACACATAGATACATACACAATTATCATTAATATATT